CTTCCCTTCCCTTCCCTTCCCTTCCCTTCCCTTCCCTTCCCTTCCCTCCCTCCCTCTATCGCCATCTCAAGGTGAGATTGCCTCCACAATCAGTGGCAAGATCTTGCCCTCCCTAGGTCAACAGCCAGCCTCATCCGGCTTCAGCTGCTCGGTGCTCCGCAAGCGTTCAGAGAAGAGCTGCGTGCTGGGCCGGCGTAGCCTGAAACAGAACATCGACTGCCTCAACCAGAGGCTTTTGGGGAAAGAATCAGCATGCCCCCAACACCAAGGACCACACTGGCCACAAGATTCAACGTGGCTTGGGGTTGTACCTCAAGTTGCTGGATTGATATGACTCCATCAAAGTTTTAATCTCATGTCAAGGGCGTGATGAAAATATCAACATCCTAGAAACTTCCCACTGACCAAACAATATTGAATGGCAAAAAGCTTCCCACATGTCAGCTCTTTTTCTGTCAGCAACCCCTGTGCACCCACAGCACATGGAAAAGGCCTTGACATCCCCTAGCCAGGTCTCAGCCAGGTCTTGGTCTATGGTCTCACCGGTCATTCGAGTTGCAAACATCTTTCCGGAATGAGCCTCTCCAGGGTGGTCCTCAAAGACTCTTCCCATGTTCTCCTCTGCTCTTCCACCAACCTCAGAGGATGATCCTAGTGGCTTTTTGTTACTAGAAGCGATGCCCTTTGCTCCTAGTAGCGTCCTTGCCTAGCCTAGTAGTACGGCCAGGAGCCCCTATTAGCGTCCTTCCTCCTAGTAGCGATGCAACATAGACCTGACAGAGTTTCATGTGGGTCATGTTATGTCATGTTTGTTGGGCAACCTGAGGGGAAGCGTCCCACTGGCTCCGCGGAGATCTGCTCACATCGTGCCCTGCAGCGGTTCTTCATGGATGCCCCTAAGGTATGCTCATGCCAAGATGCCAAACACCAACACACACATACAACATCAACGCCCTAAAGATTTGGCCACCAATATATAATTGGGCACATCTTACATCCATCATCTTGCTAGAGGCCCAACACATGACCTTAAGCCTTAAACACTCTCTTCGTGGAGGGTGCCAAAAGACTGCAGGAGCTCTTGATGAACTTCGTCCACAGCAGCCAGGACGGGGGACATGGGATCCTCGCAGCCTGTGGTGAGGCCGGGAAGGACCCATGCGCTTCGTTTCGTTTGGGAAGGACTCATGCTCAAGCATCATCCTCAACATTCATAGAACTGTCCTGATCATGTCCTGTACATTTTCCAGTATGAGCATCCAATCAAACAGAACACACACACAAATTGCAGGTGTAGAATTGTACAGTTCATGGTTTCATGTATCCTTCCTCAGTCGCCCTCAGTATGCTAGCATGCCTACTGTAGAGTGTATGAAGGCACGACGAGGCTGGACAACAAAGAAACATGTTCTACTAAAGCTTGAAGCCGTACAGTAGCACCTGTGCCGGTCACCATAGGCTTGTGACAAGTCGGTCACGACCCACAGTCAAAACTGAAACAAACAATGGATACACAAGTCCAAAGCAACAAAACACAGCGACAGTTCTCTGAGTGTTTGATGTTCAGATCTTAGACACCATCCTTCTCCAACCAGAAAACACTCCTGCCTTGGGCGGACTGCATCTTCTTCGTGGTTGTTGGATCCAAAGCCGGGGCAAAAGTGCAAAATTGAAGAAACACCTGCTCAAATATAAACTTAAATTTTGGTGCACACCCTCGTGTGCCAGTGAGAACTCATGCTCGCATCTAGAACCCCCAGTATAGCAAGCGATATGCTTTTTGCGTTTGGCAGGGCTGATCAAAGAAAAGGGCTGCGACAAAGTATTATTTGCACAAATTGCATACAATATTGCGAAAGTGCTGGGCAATCACACGAAGATGTGACCTTCAGTCTTCAACCTGGAGCATCTAAACATTGGACTTGACTATATAAGTACCTCCAGGAGAACTCTCCGTGCCCCTTTCGTGCCCACTCTTACTGAGTGAGAATGGACACATATGACCTTTGGCCGTTACTGAGAAACACTCAGCAGTCAAACACACCAAACATGATTGTGAATCTATATATTATATATGTGACACATCGGGATTTTCCCTCATAAACAATGCCACGGAAACATGTGCCCATCTAGGCCACATTGTACATTATTATACAAATAGCAACTTGCAAACCTTCGTCGCGCTTGACATGATAGGTCCAAAAAAACAAACAGTGAAGCCATCCTTCCGCACAACAACAAGAAAGAACTTGACACTTGAAACTGTCAGAGTGATTCATTTTTTGTAGGCAAGGCAGGTCATCCATTTCTTAGACTTGCCACAGCGAGCGCACTTTTCACCATGCATCTTCGCAAGTGACACAAGCAGAGTCAATTGTGGAACTTCTTCAGGAAGTTCTGCGTGCCCCCTCTTATGATCCTTTGGTGTGAGTGGGTGTGGCATTTTCGTGAAGGAGGCTTTGTCCCCTAAAGAGTCTAGAAAGGGCAATGCGAGCGGATAATCGTGGTTTCCACGAAAACCCTAGCGGAAACAGCCAGCAATCCGTTCTAGACCCAAACATACACATGCGAGAAACCAAAGCTCAAAACATCCTTAAGGGCCTTGCCACACGTCAGGCATTCAACAGATGTTGTCCGATTGCCGTGCCAATCCTCTCTCAAATCTCAAGGGTCTCATTTGGTTCTGCCAAGCAAGCCCTTGATCCACAGCCTAGCAGCTGATTCAAACACTATACAATTATTGGAGTTATTGCAGGCTGCAGCTGATATCAACACTATTTAAGGCTCCAACCTCCCAGCCCCAACACACGTCTTGGAAACATCTTGCATGTCTCAACCAAAGGGACCTCAAAATACCTCGTCAAATCAAGAAGGAACCTCCATGGGTCAGAATTTCTTTGCCTTTTGCCAAAATGCCAAGACAACGTGTTCCCATGCATGACAAAATGGTCCCCCGGAACTTGTCCAATATTTCTCAGCCTCCCACCGGTCAGAGTTAGAGTCGAGTCTGTGATCCATGCTCCTATGATACGCCATGCTTTGGGGGGTTGAACCAGCTGGAGTGCTGAAAAGTCATGTCCTGCATCCTCTTTGAAGAGCAAGGGAACGAAAAGAGTTAGCGCACAGGTCAACGGCATTCAGTGCGCAACCCCTGGAAAAAAACGGTCAAACACCCGAATGCAGGTCTTCGTCGTTGTTCATCGTGACCCCTCCCTACCCGCTTTTGAGCACTTGGATGGGTGACTTGTGACTCTGACAGCCTGTGACCTGCATGGCCCCGGGCCACGGCACCATTGAACGGTTTCTTCTCCTAAGCTTTGAACTTTGATGGTCGTCATTAGTCATTGGCTCCTTCCAAAGTTTCTTAACGACACAGTGCTCTTCGGGTTGGGGACTTTCTGCGAAACGCTGGCAGAATTGAAGGCCGCTTTCGAGCCAATGCCCGGGCTCTTCGACCCTCAGCGGAGTCCCATAGATTGTAGTGTCATCGAAGCATCAATTCGGAAGATCTCGCGCGGGATAGGCGATGGATTCAGGTCAAAAATATCTTTCATACTCTCCCCCCTCTTCCTCTCTTGTCTGAGAATAGGTGGTTCAGATCTAGGAAATCTAGGGTGATGCTCCCTGATGTTCTTGGACAATTTAAAGTAGGTGCGATGCACCGCCTGTATCAACATCTGTACTTGCTGCGCTTGGCAACCCATTGGAACGACTGATTGGAGACTCTGGTGGGGCTTCAGTTGTGGATGGATACCCTCAACGGTTGCTAATGTGGTCCATTGTCTTGACTAAGTACTAGGCTGATCTAGGCTGCAAATTCGTGCTAACTATATATATATATATAGCGTCACAAAAACAACACATTGCAAACAATAAGTGTATACAGTACAGTATGTATATATGCTTGATATAAATATATTTCCTTGAAAGTTGCTATCGTCAACACGTGGACGTAGGACGTAGCGAGGGGTGTGTGAGCGGCACTGCCTAACACCTGAAGCACCTACAAAATAAACATGCAAAACAAACCCTCCACTGCTGGAAGCCCACCCGCGGCCAGATGTGCCTTGAGATTCTCTGCTTGTTTTCGATGGTTTCCACTGCTCGTCGACGTCTTGACCGGAGACTTCCGAATCTCTTTGTGGAGCTTTGCAATCCTCCTGTCCATTGGCGTTGCTGTGCCTCTTTTGCTATCGAGTTAGTTGGATTTGGGGAGTGTTTTGAGGCACTTGCAGAATTGTCCACTAGTCACACTAGTCACTAGCATTGAACATTACACCTAAGAGAGCCCTTCACAAAGTTGCTCTTTCAGGTTTGACAGCTGCCGGATGTTGCCATCCACGGTCCATTCTACTAACGAGTCCAACAAGGTGGCTAGCAAAACCCAACTGTTGCCCAGTCATTGCAGCACCAAAAAACGACCCCGACAACCCAAAGGTGCATGGCACTGCATGTATGTCATGTTGAGTCTCTGGTCTTGCAGGTTCACGTCAGCCCTGATTACTGTCTTCCAGCTTAATTACATACGAAGTGCCATTACAACTTGCAACAGTCTTGAACTCCGCTTTCATGTAGCTCGCCCAGGCATGGATCTAGAAATCTCTCAAAAGAAACCTCTCCACGTTTCCTCTCCTGCTCAGCTGTTTTAAGTCCGCGTGCATAGCCACCTGGGACTTTGACTGAGTTCCCGGGGCCGGAAAACACATTCAAGTGCAAATGTGTTCGATAATATATGGGCCTCGACAAATGACGCCAAACTAAATTACCAAGCTTTGGAAACCGCTGCGTGTTTGTAGAAATTCTGCATGTGAACCCATGGAAACGCACCTCAAGGTATGGTCGGGTGGTTTTGAACACCGACGTAGACCAACTACGTCTCCACCATGCGGCTCCCAATGGTTGGTTCGAGCACCCGGGTTTCTAAATTGTAGGGCGGTCAGTTGCGATATGTTAGCAAGGTTGGTCTTCAACCAGCACCGTTCACAATGGACACGCTCTATCCCCCAGGTGCCTGGTCAATGGCTCTTGCGTGGCCTTTGCATCGCATAATGCCATCTATGAACTCGTCCAAAGTTACCTCGAAACGCAGTAGCCCTTCGGGCCAACTGTCACGGCACATTGCCCCTGCAAAAACTAGGCCAGCTGTCCGTAAGAAACACTTGTTTGCGAAACATGCACGGTTTCAGGAAGTCCGCGCCCGCAGTGTGAGGGGGCATTCTGTTATAGGTGTTCTTGTTGTTACCATTATCTATTGGAACGTGCTAGCGTGGAAACAGCCCTCCACGCCTCACCGTCCCCGTTGTCCAGCAAGTGGAACAAAGCCCGGCCTGCTTTCGCATTCTCTCATGTGTGGGCCCCCCAGCCCACCTCAAACATGTTGCCGGTTCCACCATGAAACGCTGAGTTCAAATATGCGACCCTACAACGTCTGACCTCACCAAACAAAGAGCAAAAAGGCCTAGAGTTAGGAAAAAAGGCGGTGTGCCACTGTGAAAGCAATCTTTTCCAAACAAGAACGGGAACATATCGACGGCAGCTTGACGCCCTCTTTTTTTCTTATAAATTCAGAAAAATCAAATGATGCATGCGCTCATTGCAAGTACGGAGGGGCCATGGGAGCGACCATCTCTCTCTTGCTTTTTCGGGCGTTGTGCTTGTTCAAGCAAGATGCTCAGCTGACGGCAACATTCTGTAATTATGTGTCCTTTAAGGCGTCATGACTCATGATGAGCCAGAAGGCGTCTTGCAACTAGGAGCCAGAAGGCATCCTGCAAGCACACCAGCACTCACAGAAATACACACAGTTCCTCACATGTTCAAAGCCAAAGGCCACTTCGATGGCGCTGTTTCATCCCAAGCCATCACAGATTGCCAGGCTTGCTCCACATGGATCTTGGGAATGATTTTCTGGGGACTGGCCATGCTTGCACGTTACCGCTGCTGGTGTCAGAGCCAAAACCGGAAGAAGGCCTTGCAGTAGCCATGGCTGCAGAGCAGGGCTTTTAAAAGCAGAGCTCCGCTGAGCTGACCAAATTATGACCTGTTCTCAAAAACATTGCGTGTGGGCCATAGTCATGTCACCGTGCAATGAAAGTCAACATTCACAACAAGGGCCTGTCG